CCAATCCCATTCCCACCCCAAATCCCGTCCCAATCCCATTCCCAACCCAACCCCATCCCAATTCCATTCCCACCCCAATTCCATTCCCAATCCCATTCCCATTCCCACCCCATTCCCATTCCCACCCCAACCCCATTCCCACCCCAATCCCATCCCAACTCCAACCCCATTCCAATCCCATTCCCATTCCCATCCCAATCCCACCCCAATCCCATTCCCACTCCCATTCCAATCCCATTCCCATGCCAATCCCATTCCCAACCCCATCCCAACCCAATTCCAATCCCATTCCCACCCCAACCCCATCCCAACCCCATTCCCATCCCAACCCCAATCCCATCACAACCCCATTCCCACCCCAATCCCATTCCCACCCCAACCCCATTCCCACCCCAATCCCATCACAATCCCAACCCCATCCCAACCCCATCCCAACCCCATTCCCATCCCAACCCCAATCCCACCCCAATCCCATCACAATCCCAACCCCATTCCCAACCCCATCCCAACCCCATTCCAATCCCATTCCCACCCCAATCCCATTCCCATCCCATTCCCATCCCAGCCCCGTTCCCAGCCCCGCTCCGGCCCCTCACCGTCCCCGCCGGCGGCGCCGATCCCGGCCTCGGCAGCCGAGGCGGCGGCCGCCCTGCGCGCCTCCTCCTCCTGCCGCTGCCGCTGCTCCTCCATGGACACCCGCAGCGCCTGGAAAACCACCGGAGCCTGGGATCCGGGAACGGCCGGGAGCCCTCGGGACACAGCCCGGCCCTCAGGGGATCCCGACGAGCTGCCCCCGCCCCGGAATTCCCGGGCTGGACTGGGGCTCCGCAGCATGGGAACGCCGGGAATTGCTGGGAATTCCAGGAGCTCTGGGATCCCTACCAGCGCCAGCACTGTGCCGGATCTGGGATCTGTGGGACGGGAATTTGGGAATTGCAGGAGCTCTGGGATCCCTACCAGGGCCAGCTCGGGGTCGGCGCTGTGCCGGATTTGGGCTCTGTGGGATGGGAATTTGGGAATTGCGGGAACCACGGGATCCCTACCAGGGCCAGCTCGGGGTCGGCACTGTGCCGGATTTGGGCTCTGTGGGATGGGAATTTGGGAATTCCAGGAGCTCTGGGATCCCTACCAGGGCCAGCACTGTGCTGGATTTGGGCTCTGTGGGAT